CTTTTAAATACCCCGGTCATACCTTTGCTTTGTTACCATTTATTTTTCCTTATTTGTATATAAAAACTTAAATACATATCTTTTTTTGTATGTTTTTGAATGATACACATCTCATAACATTCAGATTTTTTATACCATTTAAGCTTTTTCATATATTTTCTAAGTAAGCCGCGCACACATATAGTTTTTAGGCTTCAATCACATTTTTCACATAGCCTTGATTGTTTTATATTACCTTTCTTTTCCTGTACGTATTTATCCTCAATTGTTTTTATTGCCGGCCTTTTTGTGCCTCTGAAAAAAACAGAAGAAATTAAAGAAGAGGTGGGTTTTGAACCACGGACATTCTGTTTATGAAGTAAACGCCTTGTCCGAATAGGCTAAATATGTGTGTACATACGAATAGATAAATATAATTATATAATATAAAAAGATATACATAAAAGTATATGCATGCATTACATAGGCGTTTTCATATAGGGACAATATATATTTGTTACATTAAAATTATACAAATATGTTTTACAAACAGAGAAGGTTATAGCCACAAAAGAAGTAGCCTCCTCGTCTGTAGTGGCCTTCTCGGTCTTGAGGAGGTGAATCAAAATTTAAAAAAAAAAAAAAAAACTCGTGGGGTATCCAATGTGATGTAAGTTTTCTTTTTTTAAGTGCGTTCTGAATGATTTCGTTATTTGTAAAACGATAAATCGGTGTCAGGGCTTTAACTATCAGGGTGTTAACCAGGAATAAACTTTAAACAGCGTTTTAACGAAATTGGGAATTTGTTAAAATCCTGCCGCCACTCCCCCCCTCTCTGCTGAGATTAAAATGTGTTCCGGGAATGCGTGGGGTTTTTTTCCTATATTCTTTTTTATTTCTACTCCACTTCAGCGATGCATACATTTATTAAACAACGCCAAAAATGAAAAAAAATACCGTCTTGTAACATTGAAGATGAAAATAAAATCAACACAAAATTAAACATGGTTTCATAATGGCACAGCAAATTAAGGTCCGATTTGGAAATATATATTAGGAACTTTATATTTTTCTATTAAAAAATAATGAGTGTATATTAAATAATAATTATTAAGAATAATATAATTAATTTATTTTTAATCTTAATATATCTTTGCCGCTTTTATTTCAAGAAATAAAAGCGAAAGAAAGCCAATGATTTTCTACTTCTAATTATTATTTAAATTCTGTTTGACGTTCTTTTTCGACGAACCCTTATATCATTATGTAATAAACTGTGACATCAAAAGAAATATTTTTAAAAAGATAAGGTTTTAAAAATAGTAAAACCTAGCTTGTAAACTTTATATTTACGAGTATATTTAATACTTAATAAATAATAATAATTTTCTTTATTCCTAAATCGCATAAAGAAATAAAGTTATAATAACAGTCTCAGCAAAAACAACAACAAATGTCGTTTTATTATAGAAGAATATTGATCGCAAGCGATTACGTGGCAATGAAGAATACCAATAGTTATTTTTTTCATTCTTAGTTATGAAATGTTATGACTATGTTTATTTAAAATGTAACATTTCAAATTCAAGCAAGCAGTGAATCTTGTTTTCTGCTATTTAAAACAAAATAAAACAAAAAAACATTTTCCCGCGTAGGGTCTTAATTTAAATAAAAAATCATAATAGCCGATTCAGTTTAATGAAAAGCATAAAAGAGCTTAAAATCTGTGACTTACATTCTTTAAAATTTTTTGCGTTGCGTAATTTATGGACGACTCCTTTCCGTAATATCAGTATTTGATCAAAATTTCGAAAGTATCTGACATAAAAGGCTTGTCAATATTTTTGTTGACAAAGCACATGTACTACTTGAAGTTGAGTTTGCGGTAAGACTTAATAAATTATTTAACTTTTCAGCCAAAAATGTCGAAACTTTTAAAGAAATAGCAATTGTGGGTTCTAAACCGAACAAATTTATTATTGTTTTAAATTTTTTTAGATGAGTGCTATTTTTCTTGCTGACTTTTTTATATAATATTTACTGATGTTGGAATGCATTGCAAAAAATTTTTGCAAAATATGAGAAATTAATTTCACAAGCAAGTTACAGGGAGAATCCCTAAAAATCGCCTGGAAAATCCCAATTCTCAAGAAGTTTTGTCGAAGGGACATTTTCGGAGCTTAATCGCGTAAATATACCAATAATGGCAATTTTATTTCAAGTTTTATGCAATTATCAAGTTAGAATTTTTTTTTTCTATTAGTTTTTAATAATATTTAATTTTCAATAATTTTTAGAACTATTATTAAACTTTAATTTGGCAAAATTTATTTCGAGTATGGGATTTTTTCACCTTTAAATTGGGAATTTTAATTTTATGAGCATTTGGGAATACCGCGTTTGATGGGGCGCCACAGGGCTAGTTTACACCCTGACTATATCATGTGTTGCATGCGGATTTTCTTCAATAATGGTGCCCTGAGCAAGGATTATCTTCAAGACTCTCTCTAATATCTTTAAATAAAGTAGCCCACTTGGCAACTGTACTATATTTTGGAGCTTAGTCACCATGAACTAAAACCAATTCATCGGTTATAGCTTGTGCTGTAACTCCAAGTAGAGTACGGGTTTTGATATATGCTTGATATATAAATTTTTTCTTTCAAACGTATATATAATAAAATTTAAATATTTTTCTTAATAAACATTCAAAATATTTCAACAAGTACTTAAAATGTTCATAATTAAACACAGTTTAAAATGATATATAAATATTTAATTATTTCCTGTTTTATTGTAACTTTACAGATGAAGTTCTACGAACTTCTCTAACTACCTAAGTAATTTATTTTTATCTGTTTCTATTTAAATTTATTTTAATTTCCTGATTTGTTAGTTTTTATTTTTTTATTTTTGAAACATTTTTTACGCAATGATTAATATAATAAAACTTGCAAACAGCCGTGATCAAGTTGTCTAGAATAAATTACGCACTTGTGGTCATACAAGATGAAAAACGGCATGCGTTTTGTGGGAAGGCTTGTACTATGTTTTTGTTAGATGAGTTAATTTTTCAATTGAATTGTTTTGTGGTTATTTATTATATTGCAGTAGCTTAAAAAGGTTAATTAAAGGTTAAGAGAATTTTATGGTGTCGAACTCATATTAAAGGGATCCCTAAGTGTTGAGACAAGTTGTGTTCATAATAATGAAAATGTTGAAAAACAACATTTGGGCTAAAATCTATTCTTTATCTTTTATAAAATATCTTTTATAAAATATATATATTAATTTAAAAATAATCTTGATGATTGAAAAATTGTTTTATTTTTGATTGTATTATGACTATCTTTTAGAGTTTATTGAAAAATTATACAAATGATTTTCTGATTCTTGGACAAAAAATACTTTGATATCATAAAAAAAATCCACAATGATGTCATCCACTGAATAAACACGCGTGAAATAAATTATGCAGTTTTCAGATTGCAGGGTATATTATAAAGACTCCAAAAACCAAGAAAAAATAGAGAAGGCAAGCTTAAACTAAAACAACAACTTTTGTTTTATTATTTAGTTGTAAACAAAAAAAATTTAGCCCAAACGTTTTTTTTAAACATCTTCTTTAATATGAACGCAATTTGTAACAGCACTTAGGGATCTCATTAAGCTAATGCATTTTGTATTTAAAATAAGGCAGGATATATGTGTATATATACAACCCTTCAAATGTTTTCTGAAGTTTTTTCCATAATCTGTTGGCATCAAAAAAAATTAAAAACAAGACCAGAATAAAATTAACTTTTTAATAAAAATAACTTAAGGCAGGCATTTTTTTTACTAAAAAAAATGCCTGCCTTAAGTTGATATGTGTACTCATCGCATGTTATACCTTTCAAAGTCGATCTCATCAATTAATATAATAAAACAATTCATAAAATTAAAACAATGTATGAACACTCCTCTCATGCCATTTAATAAAACAAACAGAATTGAAGCAGTTGCAAAAACTTGCATAAAACTGGCATAACTTTGAATTGGCATAAGTACACCAAATAAAAATTCAAATATTGGCATAAGTGCAAATTTGTTTGGCGCACTTATGCCAATTCGCACTTATGCCAGTTTGCACTTGTGCCAGGTTTTATAACTGATTCGCACTTATGCCAGTTCACACTTATGCCAATTCGCACTTATGCCAATGTTTGTAAAATGTTTTGGCACACTTATGCCAATTCGCACATATGCCAGTTCCCACTTATGTCAGTTTTTGCAATGCTTCGCACTTATGTCAATTTGCACATATGCCAACTCGCGCTTATGGCAGTTCGCACTTACGCCATTCACACTTATGCCAATTCGCACTTATGAAATTCACGCTTATTCAGCCTTCCCATATATTATAACTGATATTTCAGTGATCTATAGTGATCAGCATCATCAGGTATAATTTTACAGGTGTTTGATGACACTGATCACAATAGATCAGCGAAATAGAGATTAATTTATACTAAAATAAATATATAAAAACATTTTCAGAAAAGTCGTATTTATTGAATTCTAAACCCCAGGGATGTGGAGACCCAAAAAGAACTCAGATTTTAAAATCACAAAAAGATTACTTCTTCCTAGTTTTTGATTACAGGTCTAAAAATATAAAAAAAAATTATGGACAACAATTGGGGAAAAAATTAGGACATTTAAATTAGAGGAACAACCAATTTATGCACCTTTATTACAATTGCGACTAGGACTCTGACCTTAAAAACAATAAGTCATTAAGTCTCATTAATTTTTTTTATAGAAGATCATAAATCAACCAACATGTTTAGAGCTTCTGGACACTAGAAACAAAAAAAAAATAGAGATATAAAGCCAGAGTTTCTTTGGAACTCGGCATCCATGCTAAACACACGCACACACATGCACACACTCATTCAATAACACATTATTTTAAAAAATTATAAAATTTTTATTTGTATAATAATATATATATATGATAATTAGTACTTATCTAATACCTGAGTCATCGTTATAGCATTTCTTATAAACAACTTGTTGTATATTAGTTGATAATTGAGATGCATCAGATTCTGTTTTGATATCACATACTGGTGTGTTACCACATACTGATGTGTTAGATATCTTTAACAATCCTTTATTTTTCATACCAATGACATCAAAACACATATCTTCCACTGAGTGCATTTGAACTTTAAGCTCAGGTAACATATTAAGACCATCATTTAAGTTCAAAAATTTATTTTCTATAGAAGCTGAATATACATCATTATTGTCATTTTGTTTTTCTTGCGAATATTGTTGAGGCGTTAAAGTTGAAACAAATGAAGAGCTATACATGGAAACTTTTTTTATATTTTTTGATTTAAGTTTTTTACTCATATCATTTACAATATTAATAGCAGATTTTTTTACAAGTTTTTTAGACTTAATAGCTTTAGAAAATTTTTTTTGAAGAGGAATATTCATGCTTTTACGTTTTTGTAAAAGATGACATTTTTTTTGAAAAAGTTTATGCTTAGATTTTAATTGACCAGCTATGAAATCCACACTGAACTTTCTGTTGCGTAACTTTGGTTCATTTTTTTTTCCATAAAGTTTTATATCAGTCAAGTTGATTTCATTTAATTTATCAGAAACATCATAAGATTTTTCTGAGAAGTTTTTTGCTGAAAAATCTCTATTATTTATATTTTCGTCGTTTGTTGAAAAATGATTACTATTTTCAACTTCATCTAAAGATTGTTGTATGACAATAATGGATTCATCTGATTCCTTTTGCAAAACAAAAGCATTTTCTACAGCAATGTTAGATACAGAGACTTCTGCATTATTTGAGTCAGATCTAGAATGTTTAATATCAGAATCTTCTCTATATATCAGAGATTGATTTATTGTTTTGAAAGAAGAGCTTTCTGGTGGTTGCTTCGATAAAATATTTGAAACAGGTAAGGGGGACTTATCAGCATTTTCAGAATGCAACATTGGTGTTACTTGCTTTTTTACATAAAATGGAATTTTTGAAACCATACTTGCCATTGACATTGTATCACCAGGAGTACAACTATCTTTGGTTATAGAAAGTTGTTTTTTCCGCTTTATTCCAAGTAACTTGTTTATATCATTATTAATTATACCAACTTTAACTTTTGCTGGTCTACCTCTATTACGTTTAGGTTTTACACAGGAACTATTGAATTCATTATTTAAATTGGAAGCAAGAATTTTTTTATCATTGCTATTGCATACAATATCTAAAAAATCACTGTTGTTATATGCAATATTTAAATCTTTGCTATGCAAGTTTTTAGCATTTAAATCCATTTCATCAACAACTTTATTAAGGACAAACTCGTTATTTTCAGGAACAGATTCATCAACAAGCTTACTTTGGAATACTGGCACTTTAATCTTACCTTCTTCATCTGAATTATTATTGACCTTAACTAAAAGAATAGACTCGTGATTTGTCTTGGTTTCAAGACCAAGTTCATCATTTGAAAACGGTGTAAGTTTTTTGAAATCAGATGTTTTATCATTTTCCTCTAAAATGTCAATAGATTTATTGTTTTCTTTTTTTTTGTCAAAAAAATGATTATCTGTAGTTTCACTATCATTTTGAATTTTTCTTCTTTTTTCTTTTTCCTCTTTCCATTTTTTTTTAAAAAGTTCATATTTATCTTCAAACTTTTTACACTTTCTTTGTTTTTTAAAATTAGCAGGAACTTCCTTATTTAAAACAGATGTTTTTATTTTTTTTTTGCAAACTTCACTTATCGATGTTTCCTTATTTTCATTAAGAGGAACCTGCTCTTCAAACTTAGGTGAAGCTATCTCATTTTTAATTTTTGTATCAGGTTTACTTTTTAAATTAATTTTAGTTTTAGTTTTACAATTTGACTGAGGTGCTGAAGTTACCTCATTAACTGAACTTGCATCTAACAAACCTTTCTTAACTGAACTTGCATCTAACAAACCTTTCTTTATATTCTCATTTATCTTATGATCAATATCATCAATAAACTTTTTTTCTTTTCGTTCCCTATTTGATCGCCTTTGCTGAAAAGAATCAGCAGAAACCAACTTGCTTTTATTGAATAATGGTTTAAAACTATTTTTCATATTTATAACATTATGATCAACTAAATGTTTTTTAGTTATTTGTTCACCATCATTTAAAACATGTAAAGTTGTTTGATTGAAACCCTCTGGTACATGTAATTTTATTTGTTCATCATTTAATAATCTTGAGGTAAGCTGCTTACAATTATTTGAAACGTGATCATCATTAATTTTGTTTAACTGGTTGCTATTGTTTGAAAGATGTGATGTTGCTAATTCACCTTTATTTGATACAAGCAAAATTGATTGGTCACAATCATTTGATACTTGTATGGTCAACTGGTCAACATTTGAATGGTTGTCATTATTAGATAATTGTAAGGGCAACGGAATATCACTATTTGATTGGTCCCAATTATTAGATATTTGTAAAGTTGATTGGTAACTATCATTTAAAAGGTCACAATGACTAGATATTTGTAAGGATGGTTGATTACCATTATTTGATTGGTCACAATAATTACATTTTTTTAAGGGCAATTTATCACAAACAATAGATTGGTCACAATCATTATATACTTGTAAGGTTTCACCTTGATTTGATTGGTCAGAACTATTTAATACTTGAAAGGTTGATGTTTCATCTTTATTTGATTTGTTAGAATCATTTAATATTTTTAAGGTTGATTGAACTCCAATATTTGAGGATTGTAAACCTAATTGGTCAGATTTCGGTATTTGTAAAATCAACTGATCTTGATCAACAGGTATTTGTAAGGTTGTTGGGTTACTCCTACTTGATAACAGTAGAGTTATTTGATTACAGTCACTTGATAGTTGTAGAGAAGATTGAGTTACATTATTTGATTCTTGTATAGTTGATTGATCATCATCACTTGACAATTGTTTTGTTGATGGATCACCATTATTTGTGACTTGTGTTTGATCCTTGATTTTGAGTGTTTGATCCTTGTTTTTGAGTGTTTGATCTTTCATTAAAGTATTTATTTCACTTAATTTAATCTTTTTAGGGGTTTCATTTCCATTATCAAAACTTTTTATTAATGAACAATTTTCTTTTATCGATTCAAGGAGGTCAGATTCAATATTTGATGGTAACTTTTTGATTAAAGTTGTTTTACTACAATTTGTTAACTGATTTTCATGTGGAATACTAATTTCATGTATATTTAATGGTATATAATTTGATAAAACACTATCAGATTCATTTGAAGATAATAATACACTATCAGATTCATTTGAAGGAAATAATACACTATCATATTCATTTGAATGTAGTAATACACTACCAGATTCATTTGTAGGTAACAATGTTGTTATATGATGCTTTACAGATTTAACCTGTTCTTGACAATCTTTAATTTTTGTTAATTTATCATTTTCACTTGAACTTAATAGTTGAGTAACATCGTTAAAATTTTTTTTCTCAATCTTCTCTTCTTCAGACACAACTGGAAACATGACATATTCATGAGCATTTTTTTTCATAATAGCAACACTGTTGGAAGATTTAGGAAAAATGTTCAACTTACTTGTTAAAATTTGGCTTTTGTAAGCAATACATTTTAAACTATTATCACTAAAATTAATTTCGTTTCCCTTAGCTGATTCCATATATTGAATACAGTGTTTTTTTTCTGACAACAACTTTTCTTTTTGCTCTAAATTTTGTAAAGGTTTAATGTGAGAAGAACATAATGAATTATTTCGTGAAGTCCTTGAACTGCTTATTTGTTTCAAGTCGTTGTTACTATAAAAGTAAAAAAAAATTAATTATAAATTCTCAGGCAAAATAATCTAAGTGTGAATAATATAAACAAAAATAAAGAATTT